AGTAAAAATATAAAAAGCGTTAGAAAACGCAAAACAATATAAAAAAATATATAAAAAGCTAGAAGAAAACATGCAAAAAGCATAACAACAATTTATTTTATTTATTAATAAAAAAAGAAAAATAGCACTTTAGCTAAAAAGAAAGAATAAAGTATATTTACAAATAAAAAATCTTAAGATAAAATAACTAAGTAAAAAGTTAGATTATATTAAAGTTAGACTATTTTTAATTAACGCTGCTATTAGCCTAGTTAACTACTAACTCTAACTTCTAAAAGATATAAAGATACACTTAGTGTTCTACATATTATTATTAGAACTAGTAGACTTTAAAACACTTTTATAAAATACATTTTACTACAAAATAGAGAAGAATAATAAATATAAAGTTAAGAAAATACTGCGCTATTAATTAGTTAATAATTAAAAAAAATACCTAGTTAAATAGAAGAGATACCTACACTTAAAGAATAGCTAAAAACTTAGAGCTTATTTTAGAAACTGCTGCTAGAAGTTGCAACAGTATAAGTTAGAATAATAAACTTAAAAGCTTTTTAAAAATTATTAAGTAAACTCTTAAAAGCACTCTACGTACTAGAAGCTAAAGCAAGGCTAGAACTATTAGTAGAAAAGTCTACAGATAATAGCTTTTGTGCCTTTAACTTTTTAAAATTCTTTTTTTCTATAGTAATAGCTTTCTTTACGTAATAATTAAAGAGATTTATTTATTACTATAATTACTCTTTACGCGCCTGCGCAATATAAAGGTCTTTTATAGCTTTTTTTTATACATGCATAGCTGCTTTCTATTTTTTTTATATTTTTTTTATTTGCGCAACAAGCTTTTTTTTTTAAAAGCTAACTTTTTAAACTTAGACTTAGTAACCTACACGTTGCAACGCTAGCTATCATAGATATATTTATTGTATTTTTTAAAACGCACGTAAACTTTATAGACCTAGCTATATTTCTTGCATGTTAAACATTTCTTAACTATAACTTTACTAAAGAATTCTACAAATTTAAATAAACAGTAATAATGTTTAGTACTAAAAGGTTGTAAAAGTTTAGGTATAGTAAAAAACTAAACTAAAAAAAGTAGAGCCTTGCGTTATTAAATAAGCCTTAAAAATAAAACTAAGCTAAAAAAAGAAAAATAATGTTAAGATTATAATACAAACACCTTAGGTATTAGAAGCAAGCTTTTTATAATACTAAGGTAAATTACTCTTACTTACTATAAGTATTTTAGAAATTACAGGGCTACGCCGCATTAGCTATTACGTAATAAGAAATTATATAATGTAATTAGTAATTAGCTTAATTAGTAGTAATAATTAGACTAATTAAAGTAATTAACTATTCTAACTACATATATATAATTAGTAGGCAAGAAGCCTTTATAGCTTTTTATATTTACTCTAAGTTACAACCTACTTTTTAGAAATACAATCTAGTTGTTACTTTATACTTCTACCTTTGTTACTTTAGTGTTACCTGCTAGATATTTGCAAAACCTAACTAGAGTTCTTTAAGACCTTAACACTACTTTTAAAAGTGTTTCTACTTTATTTAACTTTTAAAAGCTTACTACTTTTCTTTTCTTTTTTTTTATTTAAGCTTACTTTTTAAGTAGTTCTTAGCACCTAGCAATAAATATAGCAATTTAAATACAAAATTTAGATTTTTATTTCTTTAATAATAAAAATAAGCGATTTTTTAAATAACCAAATTTTAACAAGAGCTAGATTTAAACTAATAGCTTTTTAAAAAATTTTAAATTTTTTTTTTAAAAGCGTTTAGGTGTTTGCCTACTACACTATTTTACTAGTAATAAGTTTATAAAAAATAAATAAGCTAGATATAGCTAAGCAACATTTAAACTTATTATAAAAATAGTAAAAATAGTAGAAAGCAGTAAGACAGCGCTAAAAGATAAGCTATAAATAATACTATATATAATAGTAAGCTTTGCAGCATTAAGCAACTAAAAAAATAAAATTTTAAAAAGTATAATAAATAAATTAAAAGTAATAGGCTTATTTTTTTACTAGATTAGTAAGTAGAGAAAAGAGCTAAAATTTAAAAAGTTATATTAAATAGAGAGAAGCGCATTTTTAGCAAAAAGCATTTTTCTACTATTATAGCAATAAACAACTTTATAAGCACTTTTTAAAACTAAGCTAACTTAACAAAGTAGCTAAAATGTTTAAAAAAGTATTAAATAAAATAAAGCACATTTTAAAAAAAAATTATTTAAATATTATTATAGTAATAAACAACTTTATAAGTGAATTTAAAAACTAAAGCTATTTTAATAAAGTAGCTAGCATAAAAAAAAGTAGTAAAAAAAAATAAAGCATTTAAATACTATTATAGTAATTAATAACTTTATAGATACTTTTTAAAACTAAAGCTACCTTAATAAAGTAGCTAAAATTAAAAAAAAGTGCTAAAAAAAGCGTATTTTTAAAAAAAAAACATTTAAATATTATTTTAGTAATAAATAACTTTACTATTATACTTAAAAACTAAAGCTATATTAACAAAGTAGCTAAAAGAAAATAAAAAGTACTAAAAATTTTTTTTTTAAAAAAAGTATTTTTCTATTATTTTAGTAATAAGTAACTTTACTATTATATTTAAAAATTAAAGCTATATTAATAAAGCTACTAAAATAAATAAAAAAAGTACTAAAAAAAAGTATATTTTTAGTAAAAAGTATTTAAGTACTATTATAGTAATAAGTAATTTTATTACTATATTTAAAAATTAAAGTTATTTTAATAAAGTAGCTTAAATAAATAAAAAGTAGTAAAAAAGAAAGCTTATTTTAAGAAAAAGTATTTAAATACTAAAATAATAGAAAAAAATCTAGCTATTATAATATAGTATTAAAAGTTATAGTAAAGTAAAGCTAGTAAGTTAGCTAAAAAAAAATAAAGTTTTTATAGCTTATTAGTATATAACTATATATATAAGTTTTTTATTATTAAGCTCTACTACTAAAAATTATAAAGTAAAAACTAATTTTAAAATATAGTTAATTAGTTTTTATAACTTTTTTATTTACTATTACTTATATTTTTATTTACTAAAAATATAAGTTAGAAGTTATTATAGTGCTTAGTTACTATAGTAATATATATTAAACTATATAACTTAAAATATAATATTAATAGTAAGTATTTTAAATTAATAACTAAGCTTAAGTAAAAATACTTTACGTGTATAAAGCTAAGTATATTTAAAGCTAAGTAAACTATTTATTAAAATTTATAGTAAGCGTGTAAAAAAAATTAGCTTATATAAAAAATATAGTATATATAAAAAAGATTTTATAATACAATAATATAGCTTTACTTACTTTTATTATAATAGTAAGTTTAAAGTACTAACTTTTAGAGTAAAAATACTTTTTTTATAATATATATATATAAGAATAGCTTAAAAACTATTAAAATGCTAATTTTAATGCTAAAAAAATACTTATTTTATAAAGTTTTAGTAGATATTTACTAAAAATAATAATATTAAATAGTAAATTGTGTTATAAGTAAATAAATATATTAAAAGTAAATTATAAAATATAATAACTAAGCTATATAATTTTTTAGTTAAAAGTGCATTATTACACTACAAATAAATATAAATATAAAATTTAAATAATTACTTAAAATAAAAATTATAAAAAAGTTATATACTACTTTAAAGTAAAAGTATTTATATTTTATTCTAGCACGCAGAGCTTTCTAGTATATAAGTAAAAAAGTTAAAAAAAAATTTTTAAGTTAATAAAAGTTATATTATATAATAATTAAACTACTATTCTATTTAGCTTTTACTGTAAGTTTACTCAAATTTTAATATAGCTCTTTATTATAAAGCTTATATAAAGTTTTATTATATTTTATACTAATAGCTACTATTTTTATATATAAGTTTTAGCTTTTTTTATTATAAATTGTTTAACACCTCTTTACTAAGCTATTAGATTATTGCTGTTAAGGCAAGGTTAAAGCAGAAACAAGTTAGCTATGCTCTCTTTTTATAGTAGTAACATGCCACCTTAGCGACGCCTGCGCGCTAACAACCTAGGCTAAAGTAACTACAACCCTAAGTACTCTTTATGTATTATTATTTGTCACACCGCAGACTAATAGGCAGACAGTAGCTACTAGCGTTGCTTTATATTAATGGTACGCAAAGTAAATCTTAATCAAGCCGCATTTTTTTGCATAATATATCGTACATTACAGTACAAAGGTATGTAAAGCTGATCTGCAAGCTGAGTCCGCGCGGATTCAGAAAGGAGTGTGTACTCGCGACTAGGTATAAGATGTAAAATATAACAATAGAATTATGACTGTGACAAAAGCGCAGAGACATACTTTCACGTCGATGAAGCTTTCGCAGCTTATAGTGAAAATAGCCTGTCTTGTAGCAGTGTCATACCAAAGTCCATCTCATCATAAATACCATCGTTATTCCCAAACTCCATCTGCTGCACCAACTATGCTAAGCGTCTCTTCTCCTGCTTTTCTTCAAAGTGTACAATACTTGGCATCCACACAGCCTGCACATCCTGCAACCTTTGCTCGTCCTCCTTCGCAACGTCCTCATTGGCCTCATAGAAGCTGCTTGCTCATTAATCCCAAGTAGAGACAACTTTAAGCTATGAGTTTAAGCGCTCCCGCAAACGCCGTTTAACGATTGTTTATGTGATGGATTGGAGATGTTTCTCGGTCTCCACTCGAAGGGAATTCTCTGCTATCGTACGATTGCTCCCTATAACATTTTCTAACTGGCTGGAAGCAGCTGCCGCAGGATTCAACGGGGCCAGAAAGTTGCCTATCAAGGTAGGATTGCTTCCGCGAGCCGCCGAGATCTCGAATCAAGGGAAAAAACAGCTGCGCCAAGGAATAATGGATACGACAAGCTGCATGATGCTCTTTGGAAAACCCGATGCGAAAAAAAGTCCTCTTCCCAATGCTGTTTCATTAGAACTTTCCACTCGGCGGATTGAACAGATCGAAGTCGCCAAGGAAGCAATTGTCAAACATCAGAGATGTCTGCTGAGTTGAATCGGGCGCAAAGTCTCGGCCTGTTGGAGATTCCACAAAGCGTTCTGTTGGCTGCTCTTCCCAGAGAGCGGTAGGGAGTTGCGTGCTGAGATCTGTGGTTGTAGTGAAATTGATGTAAGCCGGCCTGTCCCATTCAGCGTGTGGAAAGGAACCTAAATTACAAGGCAGAAATTCTGTACTCGGTAACCACGGGCACGCTTGGAGCGATTGGCTTTGGTCCGCCACACCTTCTGTGGAAGCGTCGGCTTCATCAATTTGAAGATGCAATGCACTAGGATCGATGATATTCACTACTATTTCGTATGCGCGCTGCGCAACGGCATTGCTCCTTCCTATACATTCGAGCCATTGAACAAGCTTCCTGATGCTCGTTAGCATACTCTTATCTGGGTGGAATGTATGAGCCTGGCTAGAAGATATCTCTAGAAGAAAGACTGCGATGGCCTGCATGATGTTGTGTACAATGCACCACCACGGACTTTGTTCGTACACGAATGCGAGGTCTGGTTCGTCAGGTAGAAGTGTTGTCATCAATTGGGCTGCCTGGATGCACGCCTCCGCCGCCTTTTGATCGAAGCTAGCCGAGGCTTCGCTCGGCCCCGCAATACGCTGGTCGAGGCGGCAGAGGCACGGGTGGTAGATAAGCATCTTAGCGCTGCAATTTTGAAAGCTAAGAAGCAGTCTTTCGCGCTGAATACTAGACTCTTGAAGCGAATGAACTGGTCTGAGGGCGGCAGGTAGCGCTGTCGCCCACCCGTCTAGTTCTTTCGACAGTGCGTCAATCTCCTTCTGGATTTGCTGCCAAGAGTGGACCGGAGTTTGAGGCGAATACAACTTTGAAAGGGCCTTTTCCGTGATAATCCTCATTGCTACAAACACCCCTAGAAACGTAGATTGAGAGACGTTTTCTGTAGCAACCTGGTTGAAGAAAGCGTTTCTCGTGGGCAGGTCACCCTGCCTGTTTTGGTAATCCAGATCGTTTAGCGAATTTGTGTTGTTGTGCCCAACTAGCTCGCCAGGCAGTATGTGAGGTAGAGGAACAGTGCATTGGTCGTTCGCGATTGTACATGGCCGACCGACAAGAGTGCACAAAAGATTCTCGATGGAATATAAACTCCACCAAGTCTGCACCAAGTCCTCTTTTTTACTCGCTGGGGCGGATGGATCATCATTCCGGAGATGTAGACCGACAGTAATAGCAAACCGCAGAGATACGCCTATCGTCATCCAAGCCCTGGAGGGAGTATCAGCTGCATCCAATAAGTATGCGATCAAAGACGCCTTACCTGCTGATCTGGCCAACTGTTATATAGTATAGAGACAACAAACCAGTTGCCTGGCAGCAATCAAAACGTGTCACGGAGTGGATGAATACATGATTGCTTACTTGAATCAACGGCAGTGTAGGTGCCGAAGTGGAAACGACCATTCTGTCCAATCCTAGCATCTTCACCGCCCTTGTCATGTACACAATATGGTCTCTTTCGTGAGCGCGCCACTCAGTCTGTGCCAGATGTGAGTAGTGCGCCCCGATTGCCAAAACCAAGTTCAGTATAGCTTGCCAAGTATTAGAAACTTGGTACGGTCGACCCTGTTTCACTGACTCGGTGTACTTGTAAAATTGTGTTGTGAACGTTTTCGGCAGGACAGGGAACGAAGTATGGACTGTTTGCATGTAGATGTCGAATAATGTCTCTGCTATCTCTGGTAAAGGTAGCTCATACGGATCTATCACGAAGTCTATCTTAAGGTCCTCGCCATCGAGGTAAAAATAAGAGTCAGAGACGTGTGAAGCGCGTGGAATATTTACTGACTGGGAGGGCTTTTGTCGAGTATGCAATGTCTCTTCTTGCTGCGCTGCAGCGTTGGTACTGCCCCCCGGAGCACGGTAGGGTAGCCGATATGCCGTCCCTGCAAGCTCTGCATTCTCTATCTTATTCTTAAGATTCCGAAACCATTGTACTTCAGAGTTCTGGCCGACGAATCCGGTGGCTCTCGATTGGTAGTTTCGGAACAGATCTTCGTCTACGAGGTCGAGGTTATCGCTACAGTCTATAGACCCAGTGACATCGGCTTGAGTGTTCGTATCCTGGCTCTCTTCAGGGGGCGTGCTTCTTCCTTTCAGCCGTTCATCTGCTACACCTGTTGCTATGCTCGTTGCAGATGAAATCTGTCCAAACTTCCTGTGTTAAAATCAACGATCACTATGTCAGAAAATACATACCGAATCCAGAAGTTCATAAATCTTTTGCTGCCCACTGACGTCGACATGGGCATTGAGATCCGCAAGGAGAGTAACAAGCTGGTCTATTTGCTTAGTAGCGCTGCTCCTATTAGCGGTGTAAAGCCAGAGTCTCGGAGACAAACTCTTTCAAGCGGTCCTTCCGAGCTTGCGAGTAGGTGCAAGGCACTGATTGCCTCACACAGTTCTGACAGCGTGGCTTCTCCCCACTGCATCTGACCTTACGAATTCGACAATCGCTGCATGCGGCTTGGGCCCTCTTTGTAACGATCCTATCGTGGGTGGAGTTGTGGTCGTTTTCGTGCCTCTCTAACCTAGGTATCGCGACTTTAGTTCTAGTGGGTTGGCTATCCATATCGCGGAGGTGTCAGATTGAATTACGATGTGGTAGTATGAAACGAAATAGTGGGGTGAAAGGTAATTGCCAGCAGATGAGATTGACGAGGGCGTGGCAGCGATTGAAGGGGTAAAGCTGGGAAAGATCTACGATCGCGACGTATGATTGGCGGACGAGTGCCCCGCCAATCAGCAGCAAGATGACGATTCCTGATCTTCCAGCCAATCAATATGTTAGTCATCTTTTGGAATGACTAATTTCGATATCTGAATGCCACCTCTCTCTGAGCGCTGAGGCGCCTTATGCATATTATACGATTTCTATCATACTCTCGTCTACAACATAACATACCAAATATGAGTGCCCCTCTTCGTCCGCTACTATCTGCGATTTCGGGTGTTAAAAGGAGAGATCCTCCTGTGCCAATAGAAGCCCAGCAAGCGGGAAAGGGTGTATTAGGTGCGTGCGAAGCATGCCGTCTCTATAAGTCGAAGGTGACAATACAATCAACTCGCAACAAGGGAATTAGAGATTTAATTAGTCTACAGTGTTCTGGAGAGCGACCGACATGCAGAGCGTGTATTGGACGCAGAGTAGTTTGTAGGTACACCCAGACAGAAGCTCGAAAAGTCAGGCAAAAATACGAAGACCTTCAAAAGCGCCAGTCTGCGCATGAAGAGTTACTCAGTCTCATGAGAACATTGCCAGAGCAGGATGCTACTGAGCTTTTCCTCCGAGTACGAGCTGGAGGAGACAGTGCAACAATCGTAAAACACGTCCAAGATGGTAACTTGCTGTTACAATTGCAACTCGTGCCAGAGACTCGGTTTCGATACGAGCTTCCGTACAGTCGGGACATGCCAGCATTGTTGTTAGCTTCCGGAAGTCCTTATCTCAATTCTTTGATATACGAAGCAGCTTCTCAGCGTGCCTTGCACTCACACGCACATGGGTCTGCCGCTACGGAGCCTAATCATCGTGTTTTCCCAGCAGAGTATGCCTCTTCAGAAAATCGGAGCGAGTATGTCAAGCCGTACCACGCAGCAGTATTTGTTGAGCCTCGACTTGAAAACCTAAAACCTTCTGAGTGGACTACCGTCAGCAAAGATGATGCACTTATGCGGGAATTGCTAGTAGCGTATTTTACGCACGAGTACCACCTCTGGCCTATCTTCCAGAAAGACTATTTTTTGGAAGACATGGCAAAGCCCAAACCAGACCATCGGAAAACAAGTTGCTGTTCAGCGTTGTTGGTGAATGCCACATTAGCATATGCATGTGTCAGTATCCAATTTCTAAGAATCGCCACTACACTGACTTTAACTTATAGTACTGTTTCAAAAAAATACCCAATCGTTTCAGATATTGGGAAACCGAAAGTCTCGGCTATCGATTCCTTGCTGAAGCCAAAAGGATCTGGGAGATGCAGATCATCAGTGGCAAATACCGTCATCTTGCGTCAGTTCAAGCAGCATTGATTATCAACATTGTTCATGACCTTCATGGCCTGGATAAAATCGGTGATACATACGGCCGGAAAGGTTGGGCTATCGCTCAGGAAATGCAGCTATTCGACGGAAATGCGCACATACTCTCCGATCGAGTACGCAATGCTAGAAATTTTACTGCATGGTGTCTCTTCGGCATTGATAGGTATGAGTTTTATACCTTGGCCGCTACCTGTTGCATGACTAATATTAGAGCATCAGTCATCTTGCTTGGCAATTTTTTCGCCACCCTTTCCTCGCCAAGCCTCCCATGCTTGCCCTTCCTGATCCATCTGTGAATGCGGCGTGGTACGGTGAGATATGGCTTAGGTATCCTCTCAGTGAAACATTATCACCAACGAACTACGGACATGTCTTTAAGGCTTTGTCTGAATTTAGAGTCATCCTTGGCGAGTTATGTCATGCATCTTTTGGTACAGACTCGAACATTACAGCAGAGCAAGCAATGGTGTTTGTGAGCCGGTTGTTGGCGTGGTACAAAAAGCTCCCTATACCTCTGATGCCAAAACACATTGTGCTCCCGGCTCATCTCCTCATGCAGTGAGTATCTTTTCGTGAATTGCAACACCTAGACTGACATGTGGATTAGTCTCGATTACCAGATTGTACTCATGATCACCTGTCAGCCTTTTATTAATGATGAGTGGGACGATGAGTATATCCCTAAGAATATTGTTTCTAATGCAGAACGTGATATCAACGTACTTGTACGTTTATATCATCTCCGGCATGGGTTCGAAGACCCGCATGTTTACCTGACATCTCCGCTCGTGAAGTTGGGCTTTATGTCGCTGCACAGCATTAATGACCAGACGCCACCCGAAATATTGCACTACACGAGATCGAGCCTCCTTCTTGCTCTCAAAGGACTGCGCGAACAAGGCCGCAACTACTATATCACAAGGACTGTTTATCATATCATCAAGAATCAGCTGCGGTCGGAAGAGGCACGGCTTTTGCGGGGAACAGAGGACCCAGAGTCAGAGTTAGACAAGAGTCCGGAGCTGGAGAGCGAGATTCAGTCGGCGTGGACTCCTACCGTGGTCGATATTTCGGATGGCGCATCTGAAGACGAGTTATCGAAGTTGGCGAAGCGGTTCTTGAAGCTTGATTCAGGGGAGCAGAGTGATAGTGAAGCTGGCAGTAGTTCGCCGTTGCCGGTGTAGATTTCGTAGACTTATAAGACGTTTTTCGTGTCTTTTAAAAGTGTACAACGAGGCGGTTGAGGATAATTAGCTGAGGAACACAGTCTAATTAGGTTGGGATAGAACTATCCTTAGCAATCCTACGGTCTCGCACCTATCTACCTTTTGCATCCCAATACCTATTGTAAACCTTATATATTATTGTTCCTAACATATACGACCTCTTCCGCTTGTTGTGTGGCGCAGAGTAGTACCTACAGGTACTTAAGAACATTATCACTCAGGCTAAGTGTGTTAGCATGTAGTAGCGACTAAAGTGGCAAAGTGTCTGCTATAGCAGGGAGGATAGCTAACTTGCTCTTGCCCTAACCTTGCAGAAGAGGCGATAGAGATGTTTTTAGAACAGATAGCACTTTATATTTAATCTGCGTACGTGCTATAGCTCTTAGATTTAGTTCCTATAGTAGGACCTATGTTAAAACAGCAAGCTTTTTCTAAGTTTAAAATAATTTTATTAATACTATTTAAAAATAATTGTAATTTTTTTTAAAACTGCAAAAATTATAAAGTAACATAGTATTAAATACTATAGCAGAATAGTGTAGTAGGCAAACACCTAGACGCTTTTAAAAATAATTTTTAAATTTTTTTAAAAAAGCTGTTAGTTTAAATTTAGCTCTTGTTAAAATTTGCCTATTTAAAAAATTGCTTATCTTTATTATTAAAGAAATAAAATTCTAAATTTTATATTTAAATTATTAAATTTATTACTAAGTACTAAGAACTACTTAAAAAGCAAGCTTAAATAAATAAAAATTAAATACTATAGCTAAGTTAGGGCGGGACGCACTATTAAAGTTAAGTATTAAGTTTTACTAATAAGTACTTATTTACTAGTACAGTTACTATTTTATAGTAATTAGTACTAGTAAATAAGTAATAATTAGTTAGCATTTAAATGCTAGGTATTTTATAGTGTTACTATATATAGAAAGTACTGCCTTTTTTTAAAAACCTAATTTTATAATAAGTTAAAATTAAAAACAAAAAATAGTTATAGCAAGTTAAAAATAGAAAATAAAAAGTAGTTTTAAAAAGTAAAAGATAGAAAATATAAAACTATTTTTAAATTACTAGTTATAATAAATCTTCTAGAACATATTTAGTTGCGTAAAAAAATAAAAACTTTTTCTAACTTATAAAGGTATAGCTTTTATAATTATAAATTTAAGTAAATAAGAACTAAATAACTTTTATATATAACTTACAGCGCTATAGTAGTATATTATACTATTACTAAAAAAATAATGCTTAATACTTAAACTAAGCTAGAACGCGTTATAGCATTACTAAAAATAAGTTACTTTTTTTCTACTTTACTCTACATCTATAGCTTTTGCAATAACAGTGCCTTTATAAAAAGTATATATTAAAAAATAGCTTTTTATAGTTTTTAATAAGCTTTATAAATATTAACTAATACTTGTATAACTGCTTATGCTGTTATTATTATTATTATACTTAAGCCTTTTAATTTCTACTTAATTAAGTAATTAAAAATAAAGTAAAAGTATATTTAAGCTTTAATTCTAGAGCCTCTACAAGCGCTAGAGAAAGTTATATAGTAATAATAATATATTACTAAATTAAAGTGCTTTAGATATAGAAATTACTAAATTATAAAAAAAATAAAACTATTTTAACTATTATAATTTACTAGATTAAGTTTAAAGCGTATAATAAGCTTTATTTAAAACTTTTTAAATAATTTACACGCGTTAAAACTTTTTATATTTTATAAAATTTTATTTTTAGTAATACTTTTTAAAAGTATAGTAGCCTTATAGTAATATTTTATAAACTATTTAAGAAAAAATTAATTTTAGTAAACTTAAAAGTAAAAAAGCTAAGTAAATTTTAATAATATTATAAGTAGCTAGTAATAAATATTTTATAGTTTAAAATTTTTATTAAATATTTATTTATAGCAGCAAGCATCTTAACTATTATACATAATTTTTTAAATATATAATTTATAAATAAATTTAGTATAATATATAATAGTGTAAAAAAAGTACTAAGTAAAAATAAAAACTATAAAAAATATTAGTAAAATAAAAATACTTAGAATATAAAAGTAGTTTCTTTTATACTACGCTTTATACTTAAAAATAACTACTTTTTAAAAATAAAAAGTATATAAGTTTAATTTTACTAATATATTTTACTAGTATTTTTTATAGCATTTTTAATTTATATAAGTAAATATAAATAATAAACTTTAAAGTATTACTAGTAATACTTAAAAACTATTATATTTAAAGAATAATAAACTATATATATATTTTTTTTACTAAAATATACTGTAGATTCTTAACTTTTATAACTAACTTTATTTAAAAAGCTTAAGTAATATAATTAGTTAAATAATAAACGCAAATGTAAAATAGCTTACTTTATTTTTTAAAATTAAAGTAGTAAAAAAAATAAAGCTTTAATATTTTTTTTATGTTTTATTTTTTTTTAAAAATAGAGTTAAGGTAATTCTACACACAGTAATAAGTAATAATAATAAATAAACTAAAATAATAAGCAATAACTAAAAAGATATACAATTTTTACTTTTACTTAAAAAAAATTAAAAAGCACTTTTTAGCACTAGCGCTAATTAAGCACTAGCGCTAATTAAGCACTAGCGCTAAAAAACTAGTTTTTTTAGTTTAGTTTGTTATTTTAAGTTAACTTTAAGTTTTTAACTAACTATTATACTTAAAGTAGAATAGCAGTATAACTACTATAACTACTATAATATTTTAACTACTATAGCTGCTATATGCTAAAAAAGGCTAAAATCTAAACTAAAATATATAATAATATAAAAAAACTAAAGTAAATATTTATAACTTATAATAGTGTTAATGCTTACTACACTATTATATATAAAAAACTTTTTTTTTCTACTTTTATACTATAACTAATTTTATATAAAAAACTTATTTATTAAACTTATAGTAATAGTAAACTTTATTATTTTTAACTTTTATAATGTATTTTTTTATTTTATTTTTACTATATTTTAGATACTTAGCACTAGTAATAAAATTTTATAAATAACTTTACTTTTTTAGTAAAACTAAGCTTAAATTTTTTAATAATATTACTTATAGTGCAGCAGCTAGTTAGTAAAATAAAATAAATTTATTTTTTTACTTTAACTTTTACTTTAATATTAACTAAAAAAGAGTTATTATATATTTACTTATAAAGCTAAATATAAGTTACGCACTTAAAAGTATAAAAAAAAAGCTTATATTTAAACTTATATTTTTTACTTTTACTTAAGTATAAAAGTTAAATTCTAGTAGATAGTAAACTTAATAAAGTTAAGCTAAGCTATAAAAGTATTAAAAATTACTTTTTATAATAAAAAATATTATTTAATAAAGTAAGTACTAAATATAGCAATACTAGTATAAGCTAAATAAACTTAAAAAAGTGAAAAGTAAAAGTAGTTAAACTAGCATAATATTAAAGAGGTAAGCAAGACTAAAAAATAAGTAAAAACTAAAATATTAAAAGTTAAAAGTAATAAAATAAAATTTAAAAAAAATTATTATTATAAAGCACTGCGTATTACTATAAAATACTTTACTTAAGTAGCTAGCACTTATATAAGCTTAGTATAATTAGTAATTAATATTTAAAAGCAACTTACTAGCATAATATTTAATAGTTAAAAAAATAATAATAAAGCAACGCGTAATTAAAGTATTAAAGAAAAAGTAAAAAGCATATAAATAAGTTAAAACTAAGCTTTAATATAATTAGTAATTTAGCTAGCTATAAAGCTAAAAAGTATTAAAAAACTTAGTAAGTTAAGTTAAAAGTAGTAATATATAAGTAAAAAGCTATATATAGTAGTTAAATAAATAGTTATTAGTTATAATTAGTATATATATATTATATACTAAGTTAATCAAGGCAAGTAAAATATTTTTATAAGTTTATTTTAAGCTATACTTACTTATAATTTTAGCTAATTACTTAAAAATAAAATATTATTAAGCTATAAAAAGTTACTACTGCTAATACTAAAAATATATATAAAGTATTAAAACTATTATAATTAGTTAAAAAAGTAGTCTAATTTACTTTTAATAAATACTAGCTATAGTTAAAAAAAATACTTAAGATTTATTTTAAAAATAATAACTAAGAAATTTAATAAAATATAAATTTTTATATAATAAAAAAAAGTTAAACTGTATTATTTTTATATATAGTAGTTTATTAAAGTTATAAATTAATTTACTTATATGTGCTTTTTAAAAATATTTTTTAAAGTAAAAACTTTAAAAAATAGTACTTAAATATTATATATTTTTTCTTATACTTATAATATAAATTAGCGTTTTTTAAGCTATTTAGTTTATTTTATTATATATTAGCTTTAGTATATATATAACTAGTATTATTAGCTTTACTTAGTAACTTATAAAATAGACTAGTATATATTAAATTAATTATAATAAAAATTCTTACTAGTAAACTTAGTAGATTTAGTAAGTTAAATACTTATTAAAACATTATATTTAAGTTATAAAATAAAGCTAACTATAAAATAGCTTTAACAATAAATTATAAATACTTAAAAAGCTTTTAATATTTAATATACTTATGTAAAGCACTTTAATATATATTTAACTACTATATAAAACTTTTAGCTTATATTATAACTTAAAGTATTAATTATTTTAGTACTTATATTATAATTATTTTGCGTAAAAATAAACTTTATAAGTAATTTTATTATAGTAAATATTTTTAAAAGTAAAAGTTTAATACTAATAATTATAATAGCTTTCCTAAAAGTATTATAAAGTTTTAAGTAGTATAAGCTTATAAATTTTATTAATTAACTTTAAAAAACTAAGTTTTGTATATTTTTATAGTTATTATAAATTATGGTTTATAGTAATTAATTTTTTAAAAAAAGTTTTATTTTAAAAGCTATTACTAAG